TGAGTCGATCATTTCCAAGATTTGTCAGGAATCTGAAATGATGGCACAACACAAATCGCATCTCTCTAGAGGCTCCGCTTTATCGCAGATTCAATTTGATTTTATCTCGAACCCCTATTCTTTCCCTTACCAAACTCGTAGATAAATTTGGTAATATTATTACAAGTAACATTAACAAGAAGCAAGCTTAACAGCAGGCTGTTTTTTTCGTCAAGGATGGCATGGATGCTCTTACATGGAGTCTCTTAAATAAACACAATTTTCCGCTGTTGCTTAATTAGACTGTGGATATTTTTAACAAGTGCTCTAAGGACACTTGTTAATAAAATTCAATTTAAATTATTAAGTATATAATTTTTTTCATATATTATTAATTATTTTTGAAAGCACAAACTTAAGCTTGCTTGTTTTCATTTTTCAGAAAATACTTTTCAGAAAATTCTACTTTCTTATTTTCTGTGTTTTTTTTATTTTTACTGAATTTTTTTAATATTTTAAGCAATTTTTTTACTTTTTAGACACACCTAACATAAATACACCTAAAAAGTAAAAAAATTATAAAAAAAATCTTTTAAAAATTCACTAAATACCAAAAATACAAAAAAAAAATACAAGAATTCAGTACATTTTTTTGTATTTTTATGTATTTATTAATTTTTTAAAATATTTTTTCACAAATTTTTTACTTTTTGGATACATCTAACTAAGGTGCATCTAAAAAATTTAAAAAAAATATTTAAAATTTAAAAAATATTCACTAAAAACAAAAAAATACGAAAACCAAAAAACTCAATTTTCAAAAAACTTAATCCAGAAAACTCAAACCACACACACTGATTTGTATTTTGCCCAAGATTTAATGATAATCGAAGGAAATCCTGTGATTTACTCACCAATAATAGACGGTTTATCAAGCAAACGGGGTACCTTCTCCACCCTCCTTTACTCTCTGTTTTTTTAGGCTTTTCCCATATTAAGCCAAATTACTATCTTAATTCCCAAACTAGGCCTAGTTTGGACGGAATTTCCAAACTAGGCTAAAGCGCTATTACAAATCACGCTTTCACTGTTTAGAGCAGAAAATTTGATGAATAATGAAAGCACTATTACAAACCGCGCTTTTAATTAAGAAAGCGTGATTACAAACCACACTTTTAACATAAATTTATTTTCTGAAGAAAACGTGGTTCCAAACCACGCTTTCACTGTGCATATTGTTTAATTTGTTTTCTGAAGAAAACGTGGTTCTAAACCACGCTTTCACTGTGCATATTCTTTTCTTAAGAAAACGTGATTTGCAATCACGCTTTCACTGTGCATATTTGTTTTTTGTTATATAACTGATATAGGAGTATTTTTGAAAAACTCAAAATATGAGACATAAACACCCAGAGAAGACTTCTCTTTATAATAGTACTAGATATATATACACCTTTATTCAGTATTTCACTTGGTAATATCAAGGTGGGGTTGTATACTTGAATCTGCCGTCTATTATACTATATGAGAAATGGTATTTGTCACCTGATTTATTTCACTATACTATTTTACCCTCTAGGTGCATTTATTCAATTCAAGACATTGTGCATATTTAATAAAGGGCAAATTTCACTTCAATGTGCATGTGCAAACTACCCATATAATTTGGAAATAACTATAATGTTCTTGTGGTTTGTGGACTAAATGAAGTATACCGTCAGGCGTTCAATCCAAGTTAACATCAAGTGTGAAACATGTGCTAGGTCATAAGGGGGTTATGTTCTTATTTTGAAATATCAGAGGTAAATCACACATGGAGTAAAGCAAAGGGGGTTAAAGTTAATTTTATCTTTCAAAAAAATGACAAATATGAATTTCATAATATGAATTTCAATTAAAAATACTAAGTGTATGGAAAGATTAACATTTTTTCCTAAGTTAAATTTCATGAAACTAATCTCTACTAAATGAAATTATTCAAAAAAAAAATATTTTTATTGAATTCAAAATAATAAATGAAAAGATCATGTTCTCTCAAATAAAAGACAAAATGACTATATTAACCTGAAAATACTATTTTACGTATTTTCTTTATTTAATTGTGTAGGTTACATAAGAGATTTAATCATTTCTGGCATCCTTTAATGAAAATAACATTAAAATTTGTAACTAATTATCTATTAAATGGGTTTTTTGTGTCAATTTCATATTATGCAGCTTTGACATAACCCTATTTATTTATCATGTTATTATATAGTGTCATATTTGTGTGTGTTGAAAATTTTCAACCCTAACCCCTAACTTTGTGTACGATTCATGTTGTGTTAGAAATTCCCACCTATAATAGAATCAAGGTAGGTTCAAGTGGAGTGCCTTTGGCATATTATGTGATCAATGATGCTAACAAAATTGACGTTGTTAATTTATAAAACAATTGTAAGGCCAGTGATACTTTGCAGTTCACATAATATTGGACAATTAAGAAACAACAAGCTTATGAAATGGTAGAGAAGAATGTGATAGGATCACCGTAAAAGGAAATGTTAGGGGAAGACGTAAATTGACTTGGGATGTGATAGTAAAAAAATTAAACGAATTTATTTAATTTAACCGAGCATATAGCTTTTAATAGTATGAAATTATGAAAAAAGGATTCACGTATCGTAGCCCACTTGATTGGGACATAAAGCTTTGTTTGGTTTAGTTTCGTTTGGTTTATTTCATTGTATTTGAAGTTAGGCACCCAAAATATTATAAAAAATTCTTAGGATTTATTTTCATTTGGGTTTCGCTAAAGGTTTCTACTTAGTTGTTAACTACCTAAATCCATACTTTAGGACATAGTGTATTGCAGGTGTCTGCATACAAGCACATAAGCACTTGTAAATTGTATGTAAGACCGGATTGCACTCTGCCCCTCCAAGCTAACCAACAAAAAAAACTGAATTTTGGGAGGTGCCACATTCTTCCACAACCATTTGGAAAATCAAACCAAACAATTTATTTTTGTCAAATTTATTTATATTTTTCAAAAAAATCAAAAAATAATTTAAAAAATCAAACCAAACCGCTATATCATGTATTATTTTTAATATACATTCAATAAAATTAATAATTTTTATAAAAAATATTAACTTTGATATTAGAATAATTTGAAGACATTTCATCATAAAATACTGACATTTAATTTTATAATCTAGTCATAGAAATTTTAAAAAATTTAATGAGTTAAATTTATAATACATATAATAGAATTATAGTAGAAATTAAAATTTCCTCACAAAACTTAAGAAAATTTGAAAAAGTTATTGAAATGGGTATTGAACGAAGGGACTCATCGCCACTTCCTGTCACGACCCCAAACTGCCCCTAGTAGTTTGGTGCCGTGATGGCCAGTAATCCGAGATTATCGAAGGCCAACTTTCAAAATTCACACACAATCAGAGTATAAATATATGGGGCTCACAAGTGCGGAAGCAATAATCTAAAATACAAGTGGTCCATAAGAGCAGTGTATAAGTCAAATGAAATGGCATACATCTTTACATAGCTTTAAAACTTGAATACAAATAAAATAAAGTACAAAATACATGTTACATCTTGCTAAAAGGCTTCTCAAGCCGACATGTTCAAAATACAAAAGCTTCAAAATTGCTGACATAAACGAAATACATGAAATACAAGTCAAGATACATAATATTCAGGATTGTCGACATAAACATTGCCGACCTAACATGCATCCAAAACATCTTGCAAAACACACATCTCTGCGTAGCCGACTTCCTGCTTGTTACCTACATATATACATAGGGAGGGTGAGCTTGGATACTCAGTGAATGGTATAAGTAATAAAGGGGTTAAATGAATGATTCCCGAGGTCTTTTCAAAACAATACATAGTATATCTTGTCAAAACCATACATAACATAGCTTAGCTTGGCTTGAAATAAAACATCATTCGAAACTTGGTCTTTCAAAACTTACATACTTAACATACGTCAAATCTTATAACATAACCTCGGCATAACCTTGGTCCTTCAAAACTTACTTACTTACTTACAAGACCCACGCGGTAAACCGCCAGTGGCAAAACAAGACCAAGCAAGGGAGATATCCCAAACAAGGGTGCTACACAAGTTTAGAGTCCTCCAGCACAAGGGACCTATGTTACAAAGGCCCTGTAGCCCTTTAACACTTGGGTGCTGTGCAAGTTTAGAGTCCTCCAGCACAAGGGACCTATGTTACAAGAGCCCGTAGCCCTTTAACACTTTGGGTGCTGTGCAAGTTTAGAGTCCTCCAGCACAAGGGACCTATGTTACAAAGGCCCTGTAGCCCTTTAACACTTGGGTGCTGTGCAAGTTTAGAGTCCTCCAGCACAAGGGACCTATGTTACAAAGGCCCGTAGCCCTTTAACACTTGGGTACAAATCAAGGGTGCTGCGAAAGTTTAGAGTCCTCCAGCACGAGGGACTTTCCGAAAATGTCGTCAAAACAAAGCTTACTTGATACATTGCCATTCAAAACAAAGCTTATACTTGATACATAAAATAGGGATATCATTCATGCTTAACAAATACTTTTATCAAAAAGCAAAGCAAAGTCTTTATCAAAATGTATAACATAAACGGAGCAAGTTAATCATTTTGGGAAGTGATTGCCTACAACAATCTTATCGTAGGCTCTATACGTGTCATAAATTTAGTTGAAATTTATGTGCCAACAAAGCCAAACTTAAGTTTCATTAATATTAACGAGCCGAGCCGAGCTGAACTCGAGCCCAGTTCCTTATCAAGCTAAGTTCGAGCTCAATAAACGAGCTCGCTAAGTAAACGAGCCTCGGCTCGGTTCGTTTGCAGCCCTACCAACATGTAAACCAAATACAAAACCAGATGCAGAAAATACATGAATAGACAGAATTGTCTAGAATTGAGTCCTACCAACAAATCTTGTAAAATCAAGCCCATTCATGTGTTTTCCGTGTCTAGTTTTATATTTGATTTTTTGGTTCTTAGACATACTTCTGTTCATGAGATTGTTATACCTATATTGCAATCAACTCAAAATCTACCGATAAATTCTGTTATATTCTTGAACAATGTCAAGGGAGACATTTTGCAAATAAAAGTGCTTTTTTCTCCCCTCCTCCCCTCTTCGTATATCATCAGATAAAATTTACAGTGACAAATGAAAGGAAGACGTGTCAGGGCTGATATCCTTGGCAACCCGGAGAAGGTGTTCAATGTTGATCTTGGGGTAGTGCTGCAGAAGCTTCAAGTTGGCTATGAAATCACCACTCAACAAACTGCTTTTAATGCATAGCAACATTGCACAACATACCCGTAAAAGCATTTCCTGCACAAAGAGCTCCAAATACATCAGCATCACATAAACCGGTGCAAATTGGCTGAATAAATTTTAACCTGATGAGAAGAAAACTAGACTGAGTAAAAATTGAGCTTCTTTTGTTTGTCAATAGCTTACATATTAGCCACTTCTTGACTATTTTCAGCTACAAAAAATATTTGCCCATTTGACAATGGCTGATTTAGCTGACAAAATGGGAAATAAACAACTTTTCCGCTCAACTTCCCAATAACAAAGGGACAACTTGTTTACCATTTGTCAAATGTATTAGTTTTTTTTTAGCAAAATTACGTTTAACTAAAAAAAAAATGCCAAAAAAAAAAAATAACAATAAAGCATAAAAAAATCTACAAAAAACACATTTGCCAAACCCCACCTAAAACTAGTTGAGCCGAGAGAGAGAGAGAGAGAGAACCTGAACACCAAAAGGATTGCTTAAAAGGGTATCCCAAATCCTCATGACAGAATGAAGATCAAATTCCTGCGTAAGCAACAGAGTGATCCACCTAAATCCATAAAATTGTGGGTTGACCTGCTCATTAGGACCGATAATGTAAGTTTCTCATAATTCAAACTTCAAATCAAATAAGTTGTCGACAACATTACAAACTTTCTTTGGTAGTTGACAGTATGACACTTTTTAGGCCGTATCATGGATTTGAGTAGGATTTGAAAAAAAAAAAAAAAAGGTCCAAAGGAAATGGAAAAGAAATTTAAAAAATAGTTTATATTTCTTTTACATTTCCCTTGCCATTTTTTTTTCTTTCAAATTTCTACCCAGATCCATGATCCAAATACAACTTTAATAGACAATGAGAAAAATTGAGTGACAAGGATTCTGAAAAATATTCAGACATCCAAATATGCATTTATATTACCTTGGTTGTGTATTCAAGATGCTGCCACAGTTCTTCATCATTGGCTTTCAATAACTCTGACAAGCGAGAAAGGGTAGAATGAATACCAACAGAACTATTGTCCAGTTGTTGACAAAAGTGATCGACTGAGTCACTTAAGAGTCGAACAAAACAAGAAAAACTATCGGCCTCTGCATTTGCCTGCATAATGGAACAAAAATAAACAGTAATGTTGTTCAGTTCAGATTAGCCCCAAAATGTACTGATTTCAATGTAAAAACAACAAGCATATCTGGATTTTACTCTTCAAGTCAGAACTAAAAATATAAAAAAAATAGAAACACCAAGGTCGCAGAAATTCTCACAGCATTTTGTTCATCAGTATCGGTACTAAATACATAGAATATTGGTGCTAAAACCTCGTTCATGCCTTGGACGTAACGGATTTCAGGGTTCAGTTTCGCAAACAGAAGAAGAATATTTCTCATTGCTTCCTGTAGATAGAAATAAAGCAGCCAACATATCCAGTCAATGAGAATCTTTATATTAGCTCAAGATATGGGAAAAGAGACTAGATTCTCTCCAGTCTGGTATCCATGTGGCCGATTTGATGATCAAAACTACTCATTTCTAGGCTTATGTGTGGATTATCTATGAAAAAAATTAGTTTGATCGAATAAATATAGCAGCATAATTGCATCCTATTTGTCTTGTAGTCAGTTATGAAAATCATGCTTATCTTCAAGTCAAGTTCGAGCTCAATAAACGAGCTCGATAAGTAAACGAGCCGAGCTCGAGCTCAGCAAAGCTCGGTTCGGCTCGGTTCGTTTGCAGCCCTAGTCCCACTTACATGCGTACGATTAAATCATTGCCTAAATTAACGGTTGTGTAGAGTCATTATTATTTATTTATTTATTTATTTATTTTGAGTGAATGCCTTTTAAAAATTGATCATATTGAGGGAGGGAGGCCCTTGCCACAATGGTAAGGTTGTTTTATTATGATGATAATAATATAAAACAAAATAAATCTGTTATAATTCGAGTGTTATGGATTCAAATCATAGAAATAATGGGCTTGTTTGGTTTGTTTTTCATATAAAATGTTGGGAAAATTTCTCTACAAACAAATTTTCAAGTGTAATCAAACCAAACAAATTTTTCCAAAAAAAATCTCAAAATTTTGTTTGGTTACCTACTTTCCAAAATAACTTTCTCTTTCATACACATCAAATCAATCACTTTTTGCAAAACTCTCTCCCCAAAACAATTTTCCATAACCATTTCTGAAAAAAGGCAAACCAAATAAGTTTTCATACTTTTTATCTCAAAAACACTCTACAAACACAAACCAAACACACCTCTTTAAATACTGAATAATACGCATGCATATATCTGATCTTCCTCTAAACTCTGCCATGACTGTAATCTTTGGAATTGTCCCTTTATAGATCTTGTAAATCAAAATGGGTCACTAGCTAAAAATCTTGTAGTTTTGTTATAAACAAACAAAATTGATCATAAAAATACATATATACGCATAAAATTTTATAGAGTTTGTTACTATTTTTAAAAATTTTATCCATCTATATACATTTTGTGTACAGTTCTATAACCATTTTTATATTCTTAAACTTATTCAAAATCTGAAGTTATTGCTGCTATGTGATTCAAAATTTCTTTTTGGCCACTAATTCAATAAACATTTTTGTATAGGACATCTATACATGTGTATGAATTCCAAAAAGGATCATATGAACAAAGCATATCCAACCTCAAAAAGAATGAGAATAAAAAAAGACCAATGACAACAAAGAAATAAGACAAGAAGTATAGTTATTTTGATTTTTTTTTGAATTAAGACAAGAGAGCAATAACAACAAAGAACCTTCACGCAAAAAAGATAAGAGTCTCCACATAAGAAGTAAATAAAAACTCCACGTAGAGATGAAATCTCAGCTGTTGTTTTATACGAATAAAAATAAGTGAGAAAAAATGAGAAAATAAACACTAATAAACAAATTGAGACACAAATATACAGCTGAGAAAATCTAAATTGAAGTAATGTCTCACGTCTACAGTTCCTTCTACCCTAGAAAATATAAATTGACAAAAATGTGTGGGCTGATTTTTATAGGAAAATGTCACTTATGATATAAATGTCACTTATAGGAAAATATAAATTGTCTTTTGACTCCCACAACTTCCTTTCACCAAATGTCTGCCTAAACAAATTCAAATAACAAACACAAACATAAAAGTAGGTTAATTTACAAAAATCAAATCAACACTGAAATGTTATCAAAACAAAGAAGAAGAAACATGGAAAAAGAAAAAATTACATTTACCATGCACAAGAGCATGATGTTAATCGTAATAAATAATGGAAAAAGCAGAACACAGGAGTTCCATGACAGTTATGTCCAAACAAACCAACATTCTTTATGTGTTGTAAGCTTTTTTCTTAAAAAGCTAAAAAATCCAAAACATAAGGTTTATTTTAGCTCATATTTTAATTAAAAAATGAATAACTACTGTTGGATTACAATTACTAATTACTTAAATAAAGTTATTGCCTGCCAAGTAATTGTAATTGAATGATTTAAAATTCATATAATTAGTTTAGAAGTAAAATTCGATATATGTATATTGTTGATATTTTAATGTTTATTGTTTCATTGAAGCAAGTATATGGCAACTGTTCCAATTATCTTCTACTGGGGAGGAAACATAATTCGGGATCCCGATGAAGGTGTGTCATATGATGCTGAGCCAAAAGGGATATATGGGGTGCAACTTGGCACCACACTTAGCAATTTGGAGGATATATTTATGTCCAAGGTGGCAAGTTACGGGGAAACTGTCCGATTGATCCTCAAATGTAGATATCCTTATCGCCAGTGGCAAGCAACCAGTAAATATAAAATATTACCGATCAATGACGATGAGGCATTGAACACCGTATTAAGTATCGGTGGAAGTTTCCAACCACCAAATTGTTTGGAAGTGTACATTGATAAAGAGGTTGTACACAATGTCTCGAATATGACATAGATGGAAAGTTCAAATCCGTTCACTACATTGCTGACACATGGGATTGACACGACAGCGTTTCAGTCTCCTATGTATGAATCAAATGAATGTTATGCAGTGGGCTACACACAACAGACATTTCAGGGCCATGGTGTAGAATCTAGTTCACGTGGTGAATATGAGACTAAATTTCACAATAACACAGAAGATGTGCCCACCTACAGCCATCATACCACTCCAGTTGAAGTTGCTGGTAATATGGCTGAAACGGTGAATTATGTGCAGTTTGCTGACAGTGACATGTACGGTCCTGATGTCGCCCTAGACAATGATGAGAATGAAATGTGTGATGAAGAAAATTTATTGGGCAGATCAGATGATGATGATAAAGAAGATGGTGCCGACGCTCCCATTGACCTTGACAATGCCCCCATTCCACCTAGACCTGAAATCCCTTTCTATGAAAACATCCACATGGGTGGTTATTTTGACATTAGTAATCGCGATGTCGTTCCCTGTAACCGAATCTGGAACGCTGAAAATCCAGAGTTGGGCAAAGGGATGGTTTTCATTGATAAGAAGCAACTCGTACATGCTGTGAAATTGTACCATGCAACAAATAATCGAGAGTATAAAGTCGTAACCTCCAAGCGAGACGTTTGGGTGTGTGCTTACAAGCACGATTGCAGCTAGTGGTTGCGTGCATCTCTTAGTAGGAAACATGTTTTTGAAATAAAGCAGTATAGGGGTCCTCACTATTGTTTATACCCACAAATGAACAGGGACCACACTAATATTAGCTCCAATTACATTGCTTCTCATCTTTTGGGACAAATTGCGGTGAGTATACAAAATAAATGTTTACATATATATACATATTTGTTTGTTTTAGTGTTCACACCAAAATAATCTGACTCATAGGTATTGTCGTATGCAGAATGAACCTGATATGCCAATTAAGAATGTCATCGAGATATCAAAAAGACCATGAACTATAGTATATCATACAAGAAGGCGTGGCATGCAAGGGCAAAGGCAATTAGAATGGTATTCGGGGATTGGGATGAATCATATAGGTTGTTGCCTAAATTCATGCATGCATTACAAACATCTAATCCTGGCACCATCGTGCAATGGAAGCATAGATATACCAGAGGTACAACCATTATGCCCGTCTTCCACTTTGTTTTCTGGTCTTTCAAACCCGTCATCGATGGATTCAGATATTGTAGGCCTGTTATAACCATAGATGGTACATTCTTATACGGGAAATACACTGGTGTGTTGCTTGTAGCAACAATTGTCACTGCCAATGGCAAAGTATTACCGCTTGCATTCGCTGTTGTCGACAGGGAGAGTTTGGAGTCTTGGTCGTTCTTCATTTCAAATATCAAGGAACATATTGTCATGGACTGACAGGGAGTGACTTTGATATCTGATCGAGCTGAGAGTATTTTAGCTGTTGTGAGGCGGCATTGGCTGAATCCCTCGCTCCAATTTGTTGGATATCATCGGCACTGCCTTCAACATGTTTGTAGTAACTTTAACACTAGGTTCAAAAATAAGGAGCTGAAACAACTTCTATGGAAAGCAGGGAGTGCTCATCAACGATGAAAGTGTAATGGTTACTTAGAACAGATACAGGCTATTAACCAAGATGCCATCAATTGGGTTCACAAGATGAATCTTGTGGAGTGGGCCCTTGCGTATGACGGTGGATATCAGTGGGAGTATTGACAAGCAATGATGCAGAGTGCTTCAATAGCGTCTTGAAAGGTGCAAGGAACTTACCTATCTCAGCTATGGTTGAATTTATATTTCGGCGGCTCGTAAAATATTTTGACGAAATGGGAGCCCAAGCTGAAATAGATGTAAGAAGTGAGTTCCAATACCTTAAAGAGATGCAAAAAACTATTGAGGATGGCATCGCAAGGGCAAATACTTTCAAGTTGATATCGTATGACAGGTTAGTTTGTAATATAAACTAAATTATTCTTATTATGTTGTGAAGTTAAGTACACCTAAAAACATGAACTTGATTAGTTTATATTACAATTTTCTGATAGGCCTCGCTGCGTATTTGAGGTGCAAACATCTTTTCGCCATGGACGAGTCGCAATACACAAATTGTGTGGATGAATCAACCCACGTGCAGTTGTGGGAAATATGAGATAAGACACTATCCATGTTCCCATATGCTCGCTGTAATGTCTGAATGCGGTGACAATCCATTCGAGTACGTTGATCTAGTATATATGCTTCCTGTATACATGAGGGTTTGGGAAACTAAATTCAATCAAATACCGCATCAAGGTTATTAGGATGATCCGCAGTGAACCTTAATGCCTAGTATACTTCGCCTGCGAGAAGTAAAACGGGGTCGTACATCTATGTCTCGTATTCTGAATGAGATGGATATATCAGATAGGCGTTTGACCGCTCGTTGCAGTGAGTGCCAGCAGACAGGTCATGACAGGCGAACATGTCCGGCGCGACTTGGTCGATGAAGACTATGTAATACTTACATATTGTAATAGATCATTTTTTAATTCTTTATTTGTAATAGATCATTTAATTCTTCATTTTTTAATTCTTTATTTGTAAACAGGGTCGTACATTTAAATAGATCATTTTTTATTTGTAATAAATCATTTCTAATTTTTAATTCTTTATATATTGTAATTGTTTGATTTCCTTGAAAA